AATAATTATAATTGAAGAGAAAGCGTTTGCGTCTCTCTCACAGCTAAGATACTTGTAAGTTTCTTTTTGCTTCCTGACAGAATTGGTAACTGTAGTTCATATTAGCAAATAGAACTTATATTTAGTAACGATATTACTGTCAGCGCATGCTTCAATTGCTATTTCATTTGTTTTCTTTAATCTGTGTCAATCGATTTTTGCTTTCTTTGGGTTTTAGACATCTGCACAACAACGGATTGAAAAGACTCACCAAGGGCATGTTTACTGGCTTGGTATCACTCACAGCACTGTAAGTCCATTCTTTCTGGGGTTATGTGAGTGTAATTTGTGTTGTCTCTGTCGGTTAGATCGCATAAAATGAAATCAATGGCCTTTTGGTTTTGTTCGGTGATCTTGAATACCAGGGTCGTGCCTAAGCCAGACATTTTTTTGCCGACTTGATCCTACTTTTTCATAAAGTTAGGGTGTGAAGAGAGAGAATAGCATTTCTAGGCCTTTTGGAAATTTGAAAGCTGTGTTTTTTCGTCACTCCACGGGAGGAGTTTTACGTTTTCTCTGTAAAGAAAATGCTAAGACAACACAAGATTCATTAGAGGACTGGTTCCTAGCCGCGCAAGATAAACAAATAAATAACTTAAATTATAAACAAATAAGGGTCACTGATCTCCTCTTCTGCTGCCCGTTTTACAAAAGAGTAACTTTTCGGGTGTGGTGCAGGGATTTTGTCATGCATTACCAATAGTATCCAAAGGTCAAAGAAATAATCATGCAATGGATTTTCAGGACGACACAAGTGGCATTATAGAGCTTAATAAACCTCCTGTTTAGGATTGAATATTTTAGAAATGTTTATGAAGTGGAACAACAACTAATTTCCTCCTTTAACTTTGATTTTGGAAATAGTCGTCTTCACGAAAACAGCATTCTTGAAAGTGAAATTGCGACGGACATCTTCGAAGGCCTGCTTAACCTGAGGATCTTGTAAGTGTTACGCATTCTGCATTACAGTTATTAAAATAATGCCTATTTGAAATATAAACCATCTTCATCTGTACTAAGGACATAAATCTTGCTACACTGAGCGAGAAACTTCAATTTACCTCCAACTGATATCTTGTCTTTTTTTGTGACTCTCCTACACTTTAAATCAACTGAAGGTGGATTTGAAATCTAAAACCGAACATAGTGACAATGCCGATCCTTTTTATAAACCAATCAGTTTTCCTTTCATAGATCACTGGACAGCTTCATTGTCTGCTGTTACGCTAAGAAAGCTGCAAAGGACTTGATATGTGATTCTCCCAAAAACGAGTTCTCCAGTTGCGAGGATATGATGAAGAACCCAATCATTAGAGTCTGCCTTTGGCTTCTTGGCATTGTAGCGTTAGTCGGCAATCTGTCAGTGATTTTCTGGCGGCTCGTTTATGGCGAAGATAGCAAAGTTCAGTCCTTTCTTTTAAAAAATTTGGCAGTCGCCGACTTCATTATGGGTGTGTATCTCATTATCATAGCCGTACAGGACACTCGCTGGCAGGGAGAGTACTTCGAGCATGACGTGCGGTGGAGAGGTGGCACATTATGTCAAGTGACGGGTGCCTTGTCCATGCTCTCTAGTGAGGTAATGTTTGTAAATCCGCAGCTTTTGACCTCAGGCCTTATCCTCACAAATCATTCATTTCTCTTATTCAAAAGAAGATGGCATGAGTTGAAATAACGGTTTACAATCTGAAATAAGGTAACGCCGAGTGAAAGCACTACACTGAGGTATGACTGGTTGTGTCATAATTTACCTTTTAAAAAGGGAACAATTTAAATCTTAATTCTTAGCTCACGAAAAACAAGACGAGGGTTTCCGGACAAAACATCACTTGAGTTCCTAAGAATATAAGGGAAAACAAAACGTAAGGATGACTCGTGCGTAAATACTTCCTCAAGGATGCTATACTTTCCACTGAAGCACTTCGAATCCCTTCCTCTGCGTTTTAGATACATATTTCGAGAGTTATTGCAAGGTTACATCCGTCGATAAGGACACCACTGGATCTCTGGGAATATCTTTGATAAAGAGGGGCCATACTGAACGGCCATGAGATATCATGGTCCAATTCTCAGTCTCGTTAGTCTTTGGGTAAAGACGAAAGAAGCTAAAAAGAGCAAAAAGAGGAGAAAATGACAATTTTTCCTGCTCTTTTAGCTTAACTGTTTCAAGTGTTCGCGGAGTTAATCAAATCACTACAATTTCTCGCGTTCTTTTCCTCCTCAGGTTTCGGTTATGCTTCTTACCGTCATTACCGCCGACAGACTTATCTGCATCGTGTTCCATTTTCGAGTACAGCCTTTGAGCCTTAAGACTTATTATTTGATTTGCTTATTGGTCTGGTTACTTGGCTTCGTCATATCATTTTTACCAATGTCGGGTCTGAGTTATTTCAATCCTGAGGGGAACGGGAATGGCTTCTACGGAAGATCAACAGTGTGCCTGGCTCTTCAGTTGTCCAATGACAGGCCGCCTGGCTGGGAGTATTCTGTCAGCATATTCATCGGCTTCAATTTAGCAGCATTTTTGTTCATTTCGTTGTCTTATGTGGCCATTTTTTTGTCTGCTGTGAAATCATCGAGCGCGATAAGATCAACGAATGTCAAACGGGAATCAACCCTCGCCAAACGAGTCGCCTTTATCATTTTGACAGACTTCTGTTGCTGGATGCCTGTGATAATTGTTGGTATCTTATCCTTGACCGGAAGTTTCAATGATCCCGAGAAGCAGGTATATGTGTGGATGGCGGTATTTGTACTTCCGTTTAATT